GATGTTCAAAAAAGCTTAAAAAAACATGTATGGTACAAGTGATTCCAAAAAAATAAACACAAATTTATTTTTTAAATCTCTTTGAATCAAAATTGAAGTTTTTGAATATTTTTAGTGTTTTTGAAAAGTGAAATATGCTATTTTTAGAATGTAGCGAAAATGCACCCTGCAACTGGAAAACATTTTTGTTGGAAACGGTATTTTATGACGAAAGCAAGGTGCTTGCACGGTGTCAGAGGAAAAGGAACGATTCAATGTTTTCTCCCCTGCATCTTTGTGTACTCGGGGGTATGGACCCCCCAAAGTTAAGTTTTCTATGATCTATAATCCCTTTCCAAAAAAGATGATTTATGTGACATGTGCACTATATTTTTTACCGAAAGAATGTGAAACCGAGGAGTCTGGGCAAGAAAAGGAACGATTCAATGCTCTCTTTCATGCATTATAAAATATTTGTGTACGTGGGGGGGGGGGGGCATACCGCTAGCGAGGTTTTTTTAATTGCTAGGAAGATGTTTTCTAAAATTGAATTTTAGAACCGGATTGCATAATGGGATTTGAGAAGTATTTAGAATGCTCTTGGAAACTCTTTGAGATTCATAAAAACTCCTCAAGAGTTTTAGTCGAGGTTTTAGTCTAAGCAAGGCGTCCTTCAAAAGCTCTAAAGTATGCTGGAGATTTTTGAAGACTTTTTAAAGATCTTTAAGAACACAATCCTTAAATATTTTTAAAAGTCCTGAAAGCTCTTCAAGATTCTTCTCTAAAAGCTCTGTTCTTAAAGGGAGGAGGAAAGGGGAACTTTTAGATGCTTTTGTTGATCATTTTTCGAACGCTCAAAAAGCCTCTTGAAGTCTCTTAAAAACCATTGAAAATTTTTCAGCAATCGGGAGGTTTTTTAAAGGTTTTGAAAGAGTTTTTATAGACTGTAGGAGGATTTTGGGAGCTCTCGGAAACTGTTAGTGACTCTTTAAAGATCATTAAATGCACTTAAGGCTCGTAAAGAGTTTATTAAATGCTCTTTAAAGATCTTATACAAGGTTCCCACCAATTCGCCAATATAAAATTCCCCGACATTTCCACGTTTTCCAGGAACTAGTACATCCATTTACATCCCAAACGGTTACTGCCAGAAAAAAACTTTTATGTTTCATTTTGTAAATTCAGGAAGTTATGAAAAACTTGATAGTTTTCGAGATATGGAAGAAAAATCGCGAGAAAAAGCACCTACAATTCAAAATGGCGACATGTTGCGCACCACATATGCTGTTTTTGGAAGTTTTCTTTTTATAATGCTATTCGAAATGTAATTTGTGTATTTACAACTCTGTATCAGGCATAAATAAATGAATTAATTTATAAATTAAAAAAATTACTAAATTGATAAAAAATGGAACACCCTATACATTATTTGACTTTTAGATTCTACGTAAAACTCTACATACATTTCATGTGAATGGGGCTCCATTCTGATTCTCGACACTTTTCTAGGGTATCTCGATAATTGTTATTGATATCAAAAAAGTAATATTGGCGTCATTTTCTCTTTTTGGGTAAAATAAAAATTTGAAAATATACGATCGCTTAAGAGAAACGGAGGAAAATCAATTGTCAATTTCAGATAAGTACTTATACGGGGTCAGATAAAAAAATCCAACCTAATCTCATTTTTTTTTATTGAACATCCCTCGGAACATCCTATATATTTTAATCCAAAAAGATAGGATTTAAATTCTCTACCAGGGATGATGTTCAAAAAAGTTTCAAGTGATTCAAAAAAGATATATTTTTCAACACAAATTAATTTGAATCAATATTGAATATTTTTAGTGTTTTTGAAAAGAGAATTTAATATACTATTTTTTAAAATGTAGCGAAAATAATCGGCACCCTGCCACTGGAAAACATCTTTGTCGGAAACGGTATTTTATGACGAAACCAAGGTGCTTGCACGGTCTCAGAGGAAAAGGAACGATTCAATGTTTTCTCCCCTGTATCTTTGTGTACTGGGGGGTATGCACCCCCCCCATAATTTTTCTATGATCTATAATCCCTTTCCAAAAGATGATTTATGTGACATGTGCACTATATTTTTTACGGAAAGAATGTGAAACCGAGGAGTCTGGGCAAGAAAAGGAACGATTAAATGCTCTCTTTCATACACCATAAAATCTTTGTGTACGTGGGGGGGGGGGGCCCATTTTTTAATTGCTAGGAAGATGTTTTCTAAAATTGAATTTCAGAACCGGATTGCATAATGGGATTTGAGAAGTATTTAGAATGCTCTTGGAGACTCCTGGAGATTCATAAAAACCCTCAAGAGTTTTAGTCTAAGCAAGGCGTCCTTCAAAAGCTCTAAAGTATGCTGGAGATTTTTGAAGACTTTTTAAAGACCTTTAAGAACACAATCCTTAAATATTTTTAAAAGTCCTGAAAGCTCTTCAAGATTCTTCTCTAAAAGCTCTGTTCTTAAAGGGAGGAGGAAAGGGGAACTTTTAGATGCTTTTGTTGATCATTTTTCGAACACTCAAAAAGCCTCTTGAAGTCTCTTAAAAATCATTGGAAACTTTTCAAAAATCGGGGGGTTTCTTAAAGGTCTTGAAAGAGTTTTTATAGACTGTAGGAGGATTTTGCTCTCGGAAACTGTTAGTGACTCTTTAAAGATCATTAAATGCACTTAAGGCTCGTAAAGAGTTTATTAAATGCTCTTTAAAACTCTGATATCTTTAAAGATCTTATACAAGGTTCCCACCAATTCGCCAATATCATTTCCACGTTTTCCAGAAACTAGTACATAAGTACATCCATTTACCCATCTACATCCCAAACGGTTATTGTCAGAAAAAAACTGTCATGTTTCATTTTGTAAATTCAGGAAGTTATGAAAAACTTGCTAGTTTTCGAGATATGGAAAAATCGCGAGAAAAAGCACCTACAATTCAAAATGGCGACATGTTGCGCACCACATATGCTGTTTTTGGAAGTTTTCTTTTTATAATGCTATTCGAAATGTAATTTGTGTATTTACAACTCTGTATCAGGCATAAATAAATGAATTAATTTATAAATTAAAAAAATTACTAAATTGATAAAAAAATTAATTTCGCCTACTTGATTATTATTGATTTATTAAATCATGTTATACATATCGTTGAAAAGATAATTAAAAACTTTCTTTAATCAAGTGAAAAATCTAAAATGGCACCCATTTAGAACCTGCCTATTTTAAATGGAACACCCTATACATTATTTGACTTTTAGATTCTACGTAAAACTCTACATACATTTCATGTGCATGGGGTTCCATTCTGATTCTCGACACTTGTTTCTAGGGTATCTCGATAATTGTTATTGATATCAAAAAAGTAATATAGGCGTCATTTCCTCTTTTTTGGGTAAAATTCGATCGCTTAAGACGGGGGAAAATCAATTGTCAATTTCAAAGTAAGTACTTATACGGGGTCAGATAAAAAAATCGAACATAACCTCATTTTTTTTATTGAACATCCTATATATTTTAATCCAAAAAGATTTAAATTCTCTACCAGGGATGATGTTCAAAAAAGATATATTTTTCAAATGAGGTTAGATTCGATAATTTTTACCTGCTCTCCTATACTTAATGTTCAAAACAGCAGATTATCCGATTTGTACCTTTAAACATGGTGTAGATATTCGGCACCCTGCCACTGGATTGTTGGAAACGGCATTTTATGACGAAACCAAGGTGCTGGCACGGTATCAAAGATTCAAAAATGGTCGCCATTGGAAAATACTTATTAATTAGTACACTGGAAGAGGGTAGTGCACTAAGGAGACCATTTGCTGGTAGTTCAAAGTGAATTTCCGCAAACATAAAAGCGATCAATCACAGAATAAGTAGCAACGACCAAAATGTCTTCTGTTATTCTTTCACTTCTATTTCGACACCCCGTCTCGAAGTCGGGGAATCTTTAAGCGAACGGAAAAATCCCGTTAACGGATTTGAACTCTTTTGTTGTCGCTCGGCATTTTTTTTTAAATACGCTCGCGGATACCATCTAACCGTTTCGCCACCCTGTGGATAACGACCCGGTCTCCAATTTCCGGTGGGACGCCAGGTGGGAAGTTAACGAGGAGTAACTGTTTAGAAGAATTTTGGGATTTGATAAACAAAGGAGAGACGGCGGTTAAGTTGAAGGTCAAGTTCATCGAACTGGGACTATATGAATATAGTGGGATGTTTTAAAAATGTAATTTTCGATGGTAACAAAACGCGCGCGCGTGTGTGTGCGTTGGGGTAAACATTGAAGCGTAACGACGACCCCTTTGTTCACGTTGGCGGTACAGGAAGTGCAACTTTTGATTTCCGGCCCCAGCAACGTATAACCTACAGGCAGAAGGTGGACGTAACAGCGAAGTGTGCGGTTTTTGAGTAACTTGCTCGCTACTTTCACTTTGGAAAGTAACTCCCGCATTTAATGCATACAGAAGAATCGCGGTTACGTCGAGTTACGTTACGGATCCTTTTACCTAAGACGTTACGTAAATTTAGATTATCAACGCACGCACACGGCGACGCGACGGCACAATGAAAGTACGGCACGGCACCGCATATTTTCGACTCGATAAGACCCCGTTGTTTGTTACCTTCATGTGCTCGTGTTTCAATGTAAACGATCCCAACCTTCATTATACCAGTTTCGCGTTACCCACTCTTTTAAAACAAAGCGCGTTACCGTTTTTCCCTTTTTTTTCGCTCCTTTGTGCGTGACGACGAAATCAATTTTTGACAAAGAAGCCCCAAGCGTAATATTTCGTTTCATACGTACTGCACGATTTCGGACCCCCCCGGCTTGATGTAAGCCGATCCTATGCGGGTGACATCCGAGGCCTCCTCCAGATGTTGTTTTGCAACGAAAAACGTCAGTTAATATTAATCACATTGCGAAAAGCAACATATGGCCGTATCGATCTCAAAATGGCGTTATCATAATAAGCACAAAACTGGCACTCTCAATTACCTTCAAATTCAAACGGAATCGATCGCGTCCAACACGTGCTCACAGCTGCTTTAATCACATCTCTCACAAGAAGTTTGATCAATTTTATAAAATGACACTTAGAAAAACGACACCAACTAAACAAAAAACAAAGAAAACGAGCAACTGATAAGAACGTAAGCCAAGAACTGACTTGAGCGCAATTTGAGTCAAATGGAGGTGTAGAACCCGCGCGCGAAAGAGAAGTGGTAAGCGAACGAAGACCCACGCCAGACTTCGACTTCGGTTGGTTTTATTCATTGTTTCGATTACGTAACGAGCGAATACCTCGCGAGTTCAACTTGCGAGGAGTGAAAGTACATCTACCTTGGTATGTCTTGCATAAAAATCGGACGCCGCGGGCTACACACACACACTAATTTTAATACGTTTTTTTAACGAAAAAGAATTCGAATCGAGGTAGGTCACGAACCGTATTCTTAATATTGACAGTGGCGTATCAAGCATTTTCTTCTCCAATAGTCGCTTGTTGGAATTTCCATTTGACAAACCCCTTTAGGAAACTTTCCTTGTATTATGCAGATGAAAAGTGGCACAAAATCCGATTGGGAAAACGACCAATTTGCAGTGATTGTTAAGCCCTATCTAGTACTGTTTCCATGACTGAACGAAGTTAGACGTTGCATTTGAAATTTTTGAAAAATCTTTGAAAATGACAGATATCACTTAGATATCTGAATTTCCATGCTAGGTGCAGAAGCTACAGACTACTATTTTCTTATTTCTTATGGACGCCATATTGGATTTTTACGGAATGAGATAGAGAAAAAAAAGAGCTATGTTAATTCAGCAAGATCTAGCTACCCGTGCATGTTTTGTTAAAAAATGAATGGAATGTAAAAGTATAGATAATTATTTTTCATTTTTCTCTATCTCATTCCTTAAAAATCCAATATGGCGTCCATAAGAAGTCAGATTCTCCGAAAGAAGAGCCCATAGAAAGTGCTAACGGGAACCGTTCATTTATTCCGATTGTTTAAACTAGGGAAAATGAAAATTAAAGATGACAGTATTTCGGTGATATTTCAGTTATTTACAAACATTTTTCAAAAATTTCAAACGCGGTATTTTTAGTTAACAATTACCATATTTCTGCCTACCAGGGGCATATTGTATTCCAGTGGCGTATCAATCTTACTGTTATAACCATTTTTCTTGAAAGTTTCACCGTTTTTCGAATTTTTTTCAGAGAAACTAAATCGCACCGGCGGTTTTAAATTAAGGTACACGCTACCTTGCCACTTTCACATAACTTTTTTTAGGTTCTTTATCGAAAAAAGACAATTTTAGCATTGGAAATGCTTATGTTTTGTATATGGGTATGAAGTCGAATCTAAAATTTTTGCACATCTCCCGTGATAGTATTCAAGCATGTTACGACTCTTATTATTCAGAAAGAAAAAAAATTGGAAAAACAGCCAAATTTTGAAGAAAAATGGTTATAACAGTGAAATCGTTAAAGTTAAGTATTGTTGCATAAAAAATGAGTACCTATTCTTTAAGTATTACCCAAATTATCAATAAGATATGAAACGTTCCATTAAAAAAACACGAAGTTTGATACGCCACTGGAATACAGCACGCCACTGATGACCGGACATATTTAAACAAGTTAAAAAGTAATCGTAAACGATTTACATAAAGCGCATTTCCACTTGCATTCATTTCCCATTTGTAAGATGCAACTTCTTTTAAAATCGTAAAAATCCGGCCACAAATATGAAAGATAGCGTTGCACATGGGCAATCCATTGTTGACGTGCTACTTCAATTTCAGTTTATGAGAAGAATTTCATTCAATGCTTTTCTAAATGAGAAAGTTGGAACTGCGCATGCGCAAACCTAAATTTTAAAACTAATGTTAGATTTTCCTTTGTTCCAAGCGCCTAAGTATCAAATTTCACTTAAATAGTTCCATAGATAAACAAGTTGGCACTGCGCATGCGCAAAGCCAAATTTTGAAACTGGCGCTAGATTTTCCTTTATTCCAAGTGCCTATGTATCACATTTCATTTAAATTCTTCCATAAATAAAAAGTTGGCACTGCGCATGCGCAAAACCAAATTTTGAAATTGGCGTTTGATTTTCCTTTATTCGAAGTGCTTATGTATCAAATTTCGTTTAAATTCTTCCATAAATAAAAAAGTTGGCACTGCGCATGCCCAAAACCCAATTTTTGAAATTGGCGTTTGATTTTCCTTTATTCGAAGTGCTTATGTATCAAATTTCGTTTAAATTCTTCCATAAATAAAAAAAGTTGGCACTGCGCATGCGCAAAACCAAATTTTGAAATTGGCGTTTGATTTTCCTTTATTCCAAGTGCCTATGTATCAAATTTCGTTTAAATTCTTCCATAAATAAAAAAATTGGCACTGCGCATGCGCAAAACCAAATTTTGAAATTGGCGTTTGATTTTCCTTTATCCCAAGTGCCTATGTATCAAATTTCGTTAAAATTCTTCCATAAATAAAAAAGTTGGCACTGCGCATGCGCAAAACCAAATTTTGAAATTGGCGTTTGATTTTCCTTTATTCCAAGTGCCCATGTATCAAATTTCATTCAAATACTTTTATAAGTAAAAAAGTTTGCAATTCGGTTTATAAATGGTCGAGATGCGAAAAGGGCACTGAATTTTGAATCGATTCGATTCAACTTTTGGCATTGCGTATTATATGGCTAAATCTATGCCCATATTGAATTTCATGCAATTCAGTTCATAACTAACGGAGATGTAAAAGCGATCGAACATGTCTAAACAAAGTTATCGTTCACACGGACAGATAGATGGACAGACAGACAAAGGAACAGACGGAGAGACCAACCGACAGGCGACAGATAACAATGCAAAATTATAAACGATCTCTAGGATCGTTAATAAACGGCAAAAGTGTAAAATTGTGGAACATGTGAAAAACGGTTTTTTGTTTTTTTTACAATAACTTTTTTTGTAAGCGGTACAGAAAAAATTCCTTCCTTGGTACAAGACTCGACACCTTAACGAACCAAATAGCGAAAAAAGTAGAACAATAGCTCTTAAGATAAAAAACTAGTAGCGTCGCAAAGTTAGCGGACGGACGGATGGACGGACGGACGGACAAAGTGGCCACAATAGCGCATTTTTTTTATATTTTTGTGGAAATGCGCTAAAAACATGGCGACGGTATCTTACATTTTTTTCGATATATTTTAAGGTAAAGAAATTAGAAATTTATGATCCGAGAGGACTTAGACGCTAAACCCTGTATATACGTTTTTCGCTGAATCTGAAGCCGGTTTAGAAAACTCTCCAGGCCCATTTGGTGCTCTATAGTTCCTTTTGAGGATTTTTTAGATCTGTTCCGAGATAGGAAATCTTAGACGGGTCTGGAGAGGGCATACCTAGAGGAAGTTTAAGTTAATAAAACTACTTGATAGCTCAGAAAATAATCTTTCGCAGCAGTTCTTGAAAATAAACCTCTTTATGAGAGATCTAAAATGCTAATAGCTACGACACTCTGCTAAGCACCCACAAAGATTTTGGAAAGCCTCGAGTCTTGATTTCAGTACTTTACACTTGACTTTACTATAGAAATTTATAGTCTAAAGTGCTTTCCATAGTCTACTCTCTACTAAATCCCTTCCTTCCAGCGAATTTCTACTCCCACTTATAAATTTCAATCCAAAAAAATATTAGAAAATTTAAAGAAATTGGTAAAAATCCTTTTCAAAACTTCTTAAGATCTCTGAGACTAGAACTAAGCACTTCTATATCGTATTTAAAATTCAGAATAAAAAAATACAATTTTTCTAGTTTCTTTAAATATTGTAGCAAATATTCCAGAAATCCCCATAGACATCGAGGCACCATAAAGATTGGTCACCGGTAATAAGAAACTAGAGCGGATGGGACACATTCGTTCCGGGAAATATGGCGTGTTTGCTCGAGAACATTCTAGAAAATTCGGGATGATTCGAGAACTTTCGAAAAGATGGGCGTTTGATATATGATATGCGATCCCAAATGAAGTATTACGCTCCCGCCCGTGTTACCTTGTAAATTAATCCATTTCAAGACTGTTATTTATTATTAGTTAATTGTAAATAAATAAATTACTTTACAATATGTATCTGAAATATGTATATTTATTCAAAAGCTCTACCCACGCGTCACTTATGACCTTTCTAGAACTTTGGAGATCCTTCTATGCCTTTTCCAGGACTAGACCAACGTAAACGTAAGGGCTAAAGCATTCACGAAATACTTAACCTTTCATTAGAGTACCATGAAGGATAAAACTAGTTCCACCCCCCTCCCCCCGTCGCCCTCCACTCCGTACTTTGATAAGAGGACAGAAAGAAGGGCAGTAGTTGGTAGAAAACGGTTCCTTTCGTTGAGACCTTTGATTAGAATACAATGAGTGATATAATTAATTTTTAACCCCCCTCCCTCAGGCCCCGTCGCTCACTGATCTCAAAAAAGAGTCGCACGGGAAAGTTTGTGCAACCCAATTTATTTCGATGAGACCTTTCATTAGAATACCATGAAGGGTAGAACATGTTTTTACCTCCCTCACCCCCATTTTCTAAAGTTTAATTGGCACCACTAAAGGCATGCGTATGCAAAATCTGAGACCAATTGGTTGTCGTATGTAAAAGTTATGCACGTTTTACTTTCAAAATAATTCGTGGGGGGGGGGGCTTTTAGACAGCGAAATTTGATGGCCGTCTGGCACACCTTCAAAGTATAGGCTACCTACTGCAAAAAAGTTCCAAGACACTAGGACCATTCCTCTAGAAGTAGTTCAAAAAGGTGGAAGTGGGTCCGGACGGACGAACGGACAAGACGCAAACAATAGCACATTTTTTTAATTCTTAAAAAATGCGCTTAAAAGTATAGACGCGTCTCTAACGCCCTTCCACACCATTCTAACGTTTTCCAGGATTGTTTGTGCCCTTTTTACAAACTTCATTCCAGAGATTGACTCCTTCCAGAGATATTTTTTGTACAGGGTGGTTCAAATTCTTAGCTCACCATTTCGTAAAAACCAATATGGCGCCCATAAGAAATAAGAAAGTGGTAGCCTGTAGCTTCTACATTTAGCCGACATTTAACCTACACTGTATCTCTCACCGTTACGGAGATCAATTTGAATTTGAACCGCCCTGTAGCATCTCGGACTCCTCGAAAGTCCCCTCTAGAATGCTGCACTTGTTGAGCTCGT